GGACTCGGCCGGTGAGCCGAGTCTCCATTCACCTCATAGCTTGAACAGAAGAAGCGAGAGTGACGAAAATGTGGCCTCCTTGCAATTCTGGTATTGTGGGTGAGGGCCGGACCACTCGACTCCCTGTTTTCCATTTTTCCGACAATGGTTTTGACGCCATTGGCGAGGCATTTATCCTCGATTGTAATTCTCCACCTTGTCAATTTCCTTTTTGGGCCATTATTGGTAGTTCGACCCTTTCTGATGTTAGAAGCTATAAGGTTAATGGATGATTCTCCTTTCTCGTCCTTTACTGCACATTCGGAATATGCAGCGTGAGGAAGTTATCCCTCTACCCTCGCCTTCACAGATTTCTCCTAATTGGGCAGCAGGAAATAGGGCTGTAGAACTAGAACTCGCTAACCGCGCCGTCTTCCTACCCAATGCGTGAACTGGATCGTCAAGCGCCGAGCGCTACTCGTATGCCCCGCTGGCAAGTACGACATTTGTCAAAGATCGCTGGGTGGCACGCCGCGTGCGACGGCTGCGGCGTAACCTGGTTTCGACGGACACGCGGAATTATGCTCCTCCGATACTGGTGTGAATAACGATCATAGAATAAAATATTTCGAAAGATCACATCTCTTATCTCCCCTCTGTTTATTGTTTACTCATTGTGCTATCATTAGTGATTCATTACAGTGGTCATCTTGAAGTGAGGTTCATTCTTTACCTTCTAGATCCTCGCATTCACCGGCTGCCAATACTCACCATGGATTTGAGGCTCATACTGGAGAATCCCGAAAAGGTGCGATTGCCCTTCAAAAAGCTTCCTTTCACGCCAGCTAAACAACCTTTTCTACACATCTTGTATTGTTTAGAGTGATCTTACGGTGTAGAAACGGCCTTCTTGATATAAAAAAGCCCAAAGTCCACTTTCGAGACCAGGTCATTCCCTTTTTTGGTATTCGTTTTGTAGTGAGCAGTGAGGCAAGCGACCATGGTCTTCGGTCTTTGGTCTACGGTCTTCGGTAGCTTACGAAAGGGATTATTCCAGCAAAGTTAAATGATTACGATAGCCTATCGATGTCTCTCACCAAGGGAAATCAGGTAGCGTTTGGGCGGCTACTCACAGTTGTTAAGGGCTTTCATAATGATCGACTATCTATGTAGTGTAGCTAAATCGCGACTAATCATCCGATGTTTAGATCTGATGAACTTCCATTGTTAGTGATACTTAATCAATGAAGGATGAGCACTAGCACTTGGTGGAAATCAATTCGTATGAGAACCGTAACGAATCAGCGGAATCCCTAGAATGAATTGAACCCTAAAGTGTATTCTTTCTAAATTTAATCCGATTGTGCAAAGCACTAGCGTCGGAGATGACCACTAGGTGGATCTCTTCATTAGTCAAAGGATAAAAGATATGGTAAGGGTAACGGAACGACAACAAATTAAGGAAACAGAAGATGTTATGGTACCAATCGAGTCAAAATTGTTCTTCTGGCTTTACTGCACTACTACTATTACATATGGGATGACCAGTACGGATCCCCATTATCTCGAGTTGGTTGATCTAGGAGTATCACTAAAACAAATGTTGTCACACTCTGCTGACCCAAATCTTACAATCCACCCTAACACTGTTGAAGGCGTCTATGTGATCCTAAGTATCTAGAGTGAATGAACTGAGTGTGTGAGTGATTATGTCGTACCAGAATTGACGGACATGCTCGGAAATAGACTGGGAACTGAACAAAGAAGAAGCAACCAGTTAGACGTGAACCGTGCCCAAAATTCTGAGCTTTTTTGTCAGTTCGGGCTTCAGAATTGTTCAAACGAATTGTCAATGTGAAAACTGGTCTCAACTGACAGTCTATGGTTGTTTTGCATAGTTTCGAAGACCGGTGACCATACCGTAATTCCCAAAAAAATCACCCAGCAAAGAAATCTTCCAGACAACAATGCGCCGAAATCGAAATGCAGAACGATGCCTGAAATTGGAAGACAGCTCGTTCAGAATACATCAAGAGCTTCTACATAGTTCACCCGTTCTGGAGAGATTACTCATGAAAGGTCGGGCTCTACGTATACACACATAAACATATACACTCACAACTAAACAGTATAGGCGATAAGGAGGTGTAAGGATGTACAGTAGCGCTCAAAAGTCTTCGGTGAAATGGTTCCTCGGCCGTACTTTTTAGTCGTAACTCCTTTCCTACTGGATCTAACCATGCGAATTTCTATATTTGGAGCGTGGATGTATGGTGAATATTTACCACTATTAACCTGCAATCTGATCATGTTCCAGTATTCCAAAGAGCATGGACTCAGAATCGATTGAGAATACAGATGATGGTCCTTCTGGAATCTCTTTCCTTCTTGTCATGTGTAAAGTGTACGAGCAGTAATGCCGAACACCGTAGAGGAGAAAAACGCACATAATGTGCGAATAAGTGCAGACGTCAACAACTTTACTTTTAGCAAATTTTGCTACCGCAACAAACATCTTGCGCTATCTGTGGATACTGCAGCTTCGCAGTCAAATAGTGTAGGATAGGGTGAAATGTGCTCTAGTTGAACATATCCAAATTTCGCGCGATTTGGTCAACTAAGAAAAAAGTTGTGAACGAAAAAGCGTCAAAGCCTTTCACCGAAGACTTTTGAGCGCTACTGTAGGTAACGCACTCTCATACACTATCCGAGGATCAATCCGTTTCGATACCCGCCCAGGCTTACCAAGTTTCCCACTCATTCGGGGTCGGATAATTGATACCAGACTTGTCTGAAAAGGATAAACGCACTGACTTGTACATCGGCTGGCCACTGCAAGTCGTTGATGGGCTACATGCGCATTCAGTCCACCACTGCTAGTCCGTATTGAGATCGAATGCGGGGTGCATCCCTCAGACGGGATTAAAGAGCACCAAAAGTCTTCGAAGACTTACTAATCAGATTGCTACTTCCAATGACGTAAAACTTATTCTGTATGATTCAAGGGGCACGAACGATGCTGCATTTGGATCACTTGAAAATGGATCAGAAGTGCTTCACACCACTTGGTCTTAATATGGTTATCGATTGGATTTACGGGATACGGATCGAATTTTCAACAGAACATGTCTGTTCCATTTATTTTTCACCTAATGTGCTATTTTTGGACTAGAGGGGAAAATCCTGGTTTCTTATAAAAAAGATATTATATAAAGTTACTGATGCGAAATTCAAGTTACTCTTTGCCTTGTACCTGCCCTACCCATGTCGCTACTTGACCAAAATCTTGAAAATACCCTTCACTCAACGTTCTTAATCATAAACTCGCCATAAAGTCCCGCTAGGGTTACACTAATTTTATGGAACCACCGTTCTGAGTAAATTTCGTATATATATCACTCGTTCGGTCACGTTGTCCCTTTGTCAAGGATGATGCCTTCATAGGTTCAACCACCCTGTAAGTTTGAAGTAGACCTCCTCCCGTATTCACTGAAATTTGCTTCAGCATGAACTCTGACTTTAAGATCACAGATGCATTAGCAGCTTCGTTTGCATTGGAAATGTATGATATGGTGGAAGCTATAGAGGAAGAGATATTGAAATATCAAGGTGAGTCATAGGGTTGACCTGGGTCCAACTTGGGAGGCTTCTGGGAGTAAAAAATAATGAATAATTGGTCCGTTGATTCATTGAAAATGAGTGAATAGCAAGAAGTGCAGTACTTTCAGCAGCTTGGAACAGATCCTAGTCTTTGCTGTACTGAGGAATTCTTTGAGATAACAGCTATGTTCAGGTGACCCAGATGCTTTGGTGATCCTCCTGTATCACATCGATAATTTCACTCCAGAAACTAAACAGCAACTCCTAATGGTAAGTCGAGTTCGCCTGGGCTTTTACCCACTCCAAGAGGCTCGCACAGAAAGTAGAATTGGAGGTTTCTTTAGTGACTCAGTGACTTGACTCCTAAACTATTACACCACCCTGAAAATCTTCGAAACAAACGAGTGCTTCTGAAGAGGCGGATAAACGGAGAGTCGTGGCTCGGCTGTGCNCGAGTTCGCCTGGGCTTTTACCCACTCCAAGAGGCTCGCACAGAAAGTAGAATTGGAGGTTTCTTTATCAGTGACTTGACTCCTAAACTATTACACCACCCTGAAAATCTTCGAGACAAACGAGTGCTTCTGAAGAGGCGGATAAACGGAGAGTCGTGGCTCGGCTGTGCATCTCTGAAATTCGACTAATCTGACTTGAAGTGCCAAAAACGACCTCCACCGACTACATAGCCTACTGCTTACCCTAGAGAAGGGAGAGAAGGCAAAACTTCATATTGGGAGCTGTAGAGGAGTTGGCACACCCCAGGTTGAACTATCTCTAACTATTCGAGAACAGGATCTCTTACTGGTCTGATCGATTACCAACACAGGATTACTCGTCGCTCCTCTTCTGAGTGGATTGATAAATATCTTAAAGTAACCAGTAGTTCTGAAATTACATAAGCGATAAAAGTCCTCTATAAGACCCCTCGTCCTTGTTTTACAAATGTCGAAAAATTAAAAGCGCAGTTGAATGAAAAAGTAGAATAGCTGCACGAAGACCCTCCTATTAACTCCTTGTATTCAGGCATCAGCCAAGCAAATCGCTGCCGTTTCCCAGCTGAGACCATTTGTTGGTTTGCCAACATCAATATTTAAAAGAGTAATAAAGGTAAAACAATAATTATTGCATAATAAGCATCCAAATATCCACCCAAACCTGCATTGGAGTCGAATTCACGGCGCATTTCAGAAGGCTAAACAAGCTTTCCTCCTCATTTTCTTTTACTGTATTCAGATCGCAATGAACAGCATAGCCGAAATTGAAGACGCCTTCAATGTTGCTCGCGCCATTATCATTTGGACCGGAGAAAACCAGAATCGTAACGTGCGTTTATACTTATTTTGATGGCAAAATGTAAAGGAATCGGTCTTGGTGTGGACTCGAACCAGCATTAGCCCCTCCCAACGTCACGCTTATCCATTGCGCTATAAGGACCTATAAAGCATCCACAATACATCATCTAAAACAGAGGGGTGACTACGAACGGTGCTTTAAGTGCAGTGGGTAAGTACAGCGCTCTGAAAACTTGGCACGATTTCGATTCCCATTTAAAGCCGAGAATATTGTCAAGAGTACGGTAGTATTACGGTGACTGACTATTTGGCATTATTACAGTTGGGTGTATGTCGTTTGGCGCGATCCCTCCCAT